AAGCTTTCCCCAGCCCCTTGGCTGCTACTGAGCCTCATGACTGACTCGGGGCTGGGCCCTCATCCCTGCTTCCAGTCCCTGCCCGCGGTCTCAGAGGCCCTGTCTTCCCTGCACTGTACCCACAGGCTGACGACCCCTCCTTGCCTGCGGCCCAGACCACTGCCCTGAGCTCCAGAGCCGTTCAGGCAGAGGCTTCCCACAGCCCAGCCCCCTCCTCCTGCCGGGCTCTGTGTCCCAGCGACAGGGGTCGGGGAGGCAGGGGTCGACTGGAGCTCCTGGCCCCGCCCCTCCCAGCTCCCTTGTCAGTGCCAAGGCCAGCAGGTTCCACCCCCTAAGCATTCCCAGTCATCTGCCTCCACCACCTCTTCCTCCTGACCCCGGCCCTGGCTCCACTCCCAGTGCCTCCTAGGCGTCACACGAGCCCCTCCTGGCCCAACTGCCTCCCCTCCTTCCTGTCGGCCCTAGAGCTGAGCAGGTATCTTGTGACACCCATGATGGAGACACTGGTGGTGGTGGAATTGATGGTGCTGCTGGTGATGATAATGGCGGTGGTGGTGATGGTGATGACGGTGGTGGTGGTGGCAGCGGTGGCGGCCATGGCTGTGGTGGTGGTTACTCCGTGATGGCAGTGATGGAGGTTAGTCACGGAGCGAGGTGAGTGATAGAGACGAGGCGAGCAGTGCTGATGCTGGTGCTTGGTGAGGTAGTGATGACTGGTGACGGTGCTGGTGGTCGCGACCAGGGGTCCAGGGACGGGAGCTGACATGGCAGAGTCTTGGGGGATGAGCTGGGAGGGGCAGCCTCGGGTCAGGAACTGGTCTCTGGTCTGCTCTGAGTCCCAGCTCAGGATCCGTTGGGAAATTTGGGCTTGCAAGGCCTCTGTGTGGGCCCCTCTCTCTGGGAGCCCCTGCCAGCAGTGTGTGGCAGGGCATGGGGGCGCAGGGCTGCAGGCGCCAAGAGGAAATGGCGGGGGAGAGCTCACCAGAGCCCGCTGGCTTCCCCTGAAGGTAAGGAGACCCCATAGCCCCCCTGCCCTCACCCAGGGGGCTGCCTAAGAGGGCCTATTCAGGGTGTGCAGAGTGAGCTGGACCTTGGCTGGAGCCCAGGTGCTCTGGGAAGGGACAGAGGCAGTGTGCTGGAGGAGCCAGGGGCTCGCTGAGCCACCACACGAGCCCCCCAGAACCCTGTTACTGGGACAGTCAGTGCCAGCCCAGGTGCCCTCACCCCAGGGCCTGCTGGGATCCGCCCTGGGGAAGGAGTCTCCTCCCCACAGGTGACCTTGTGGGATGCTGTCTGGGGTGTCCCTTGAGGGGCGTGGCCTGTGGCTGGCCTGGTACCCCAGCCCCAGGTCAGTCTGGGCTCCTGGCCGGGCCTTTATCAGGAGCCCCAGCTGCAGCGTGGGAAGTGGCCTTTCTCTGCCTGTGACTGCAAGGGAGTGGGCCGCGATTGAGCAATGCCTGTCAGGGCAGGGAGGCCCCAGGGCCAGGGCCATGTGACCACTGACCGGCCTGACTGGGGGTGGGGGTGGGGTGCAGGGCAGCCCCATGGCTATGCTGCATGTGGCAACAGGGCCACGGGCAGCCCTCCAAGCCCCCCTGCACAGCCAGCAAGCCCCTGGCTGTGAGGCGGGGCAGGATGGTTCTGTCCCTGCTGTGGCACTCAGTGCTGGCGCGAGGCCTCTATTAAACGTGGCTTCTTCCCAGGTTCCACCCAGACCTGCCAGGAGCTTCCTCTTCCTCCTCCAGGCCTCAGCCTGCCCCGCCTCTTGGCTCCCGCATCCTAGCACCACGAACCAACCAGAGTCCTCAGCTGTTTTGGCCTCAGCCCCCTCTGGCAGCACTCCCTGGCCCCGCCCACCTCCAGGGCCTGCAAGTGGGAAGCCAGGGGGTCCCTTGGAACCCCCTGCACTTCCATGGCTGCCCGCACAGCAGCCTTCAAGGCCCCTGGGGACAATGAGGGCCCCACGCCTCCTCTTGACAGTGTGTGGGGGTGCCCTGCACGCCCCGCCTTCAGCAGCCACGGTGGGTGCTGCCTGAGCTGTTAATTAATGGCTCAACTCTGTTATCAGCCAAGCGCTAATTACTCTTTTTAATCAGGGCTGCCCGTGTGGAGGCTCCTGGAGGCACAGCAGGGTGGGGAAGCCGGGGAACCATGACTTCACCCCTGCTTAGGCAAGCAGGCTCCAGGGTGCCCCCGAGCCACAGCCCTCACCCCGCAGCACCCTTCCTCCTCGTGGCAAACTCCCCCTCTCCTGGAGCTGCCCCCTTGGTGAGAGCCCCCCCCAAACCAGCTCCGTCATCCTGGTCAGAGCCAGAGGAGAGACCAGGAGGAGCCAGGAGCTGGGGGCCACACATGGAGCTGGCTTTGGCCTCCAGGAGGAGATTGGGAATGGCTAAGCCGCACAAGGAGGTGGACTGTTGCTTGGGTCAACCCCAGGGGAGCTCCACCAGAGGGCCCTGGCCTGCTGTCAGTGTCCTGGTGACCAACCTTGCTCCTGTCCCACTAGGTCCTATGGCACATGTGTGCCAGCACCCTGCATGCCCCAGGCCCACACAGACACAGCAAAGACCCCCATCTGGATAGCCTGGCCCTTCCGGAGCCCACACAGAGTCCACACAACCACGTCACCTGAGAGCCACGGCCATGGCCACACAGCCAGACACTGCCAGACCATGGCACATGCATGTGCATGCGGGAGACCAGGGCAGGGGCCTAGGAGAACAGAAGCTGCCCCTTCTCCTGCCCTGGGCCCCCAGGGCTTCCCGTTTACTAGACGTTATCTATCAAAACTATATTAACCCAGAAGTCTGTTTCCATCAGAGTCTCGATTCCAGGGACATTTCTAGATAAGCCTTATCTTGTTGCTGGTGCATTAGCCTCGCTGGTCGGGGGGCCTGCCAATCACAGCCGCCCCCTGCTCAGCCCGTGGCAGGGTGCCTGTCCATGACTTCATTCTCCATGGCCCCTGCCCCCACCCCACCCTGGGCCCAAAGCAGGGTCCCAGAGGGTACCTCTTCTCCAAGGACACACCAAGGCACTGGGGGGCGTGGGAGGCTCTAAAATCAAAGTCTGGGTTCAAATCCCAGTTCCACTCCACGGCCCCTATGAAGTCGGCGCGTAGCCCCCACCTGCACAGATATGGTAAGTTTATCCAGTGACCGTCAGCTCCACCCACTGTGGCTCTCTTCCTAAACCATTGGTGCCCGGGGCTGCCCGGGTTCCCCAGGCGCCACCCTCAAGGCCTCAAGGGCCAGGCAAGGGGTCACACATATCCATGTCTCGGGCTCCCCTTCTGAGGCTGTGTGCCCTGGCCTGACCCTCCTAATGGGCGCTCGGGTTTCCCCCGATGCCAGGCCCGATAGAACCTCTCCTGGAGCCGCCTCTCCTGGAACGGCTGCTGTGCCTGCTCCGGCCGCACTGGCGGGCCCTTGCTCCACACTCGGGGGACCTGGGAGCTCCTCAGAGACACGCACTGGGTTGCCCTTCTGGGTGCCCCCTCCCCCCGAGCCTGCCTCCTTCCTGGGGATTTGGGGAGTGCTGTTTTTAGGTGAGATGGGGAGAGGTGGGGGTGGACGTGCCTGGACAAACTGGCTGACGTGGTGCTGCGCTGCTCCTGGGGCTGCCCGTGTCACCTCCTGAGGGCTGCAGGGGCCTGACACGGGGCCAGCACTGTGCCTGGCAAGTCCCATGACCCCAGAACAGCCCCGTGGCTGTTCCCATTTTACACATGGAGACAGTGAGGCACGGGGTTAGGGACTTGACCACGCTCACATAGCTGGGCCAGGGGCCAGGACCTGAGCTCAGGCGGGGGTTCCCAAGTGTACTTTGTGTCTGCCCAGCCCTTTCTCCCCTTCGGCACGTCAGCTCCCGCCCCCCACCCAGCCGTGCCCACCATAATGGCTCCCCAGGTCACACAACTGTACAGGGCAGGACCTGTGACTGAGCCCAGGGCCTCCTGATGTCCCACCTCCCAGGGGCACTGAGAGGGTCAACCTCTCACCTGTTGGTCAGGGAGGAGGTGGCCTGGAGGTTGGGGGAGACTGAGGTTCCGGGTCGTGCCCCACACTGAGGATGCCGAGGGGCCGAGGTCCCCCCACCCGGCTCTCAGTGCTGCTCGCTGCCCGGGTCTGGGCCAAGGTGGCCAACGGTGGCTGGGCCAGCTGCCATTGCTGGCCCTGGAAGTAGAGGGGCGGGCTCTGTTGCTGGTGTATTTAATTAGGGGCCTCCTGGCTCCCTGGCCACCGCACACAGGGACGCTATGTTCCACGGCGGCGTCGCTCCCTTTTCCTCTCTGCCTTTGGCTCTGGGGCTTAACAGCCCCAAGTCATTTGATCGCAACCTGCCTCTGTTAATATTTTTAATGCCATTTTTGCAAATTAAAGCATAATGCACCGATTACCGGGATAAAAGGGAGGCCTCTGCGTCCGTCTGGAGGCCAAATAAAGGAACGCCTGAACATCTGTTCATTGCACAAATGTCTTTAAAAGCTTTGATTTCCCCACAATCAGTCGGTTCCACCATTTCACCCTTTCTTGAGTGTCCACAGCCCCGAGCTGCTGGGTGGTCTGTGGGTACAGGTCAGGACAGAGGTGGACACAGGCAGGGCCCACGTTTCTGCTTCCTGCCCAACAACTGGTTCTGCACGGGGCACTGCTACCAACCACCCTTGCCTCTGCCCCTTGGGGAGTGTGTGGTCCCTGAACTTGAGAGCAGGGGCCCAGGGACTCCTGGTGTAGGGAGGAAGGAGCATTCTTCCACCTCACTCTGCCCTGGCTGGGAGCCCACTGCCCCCCAGCACCCACCCCTATTCTCCTTGGAGGCCCAGGATGCCCTGGGAGCCACTTGGTTGAGTTGAGGAGCCCGATGCCCCGCAGACTCCAGTAGCTCCCTGGGGAGCTGGGGGCCCAGCCCTGCCCGCAGAAGCCCTGGCGACGCCTCTGACATCCCCTGGGGATAGACCTGGGGTGGGGCATGAGACCAGAGAGAGAGCAGCAGGCGGGTGGGGCCACAGGACGTTTATTTGCGGCTGTCCAGTACCTGTCCACAGACTCGGGCCGAGTCTCGCCCCAGATGGCCAACAGCTGGGACAGCCTGGGAGACAGACTTTGGCTGTCTCTGGCCAACACCCTTTCCTAGCTGGGCCTGCCCACTGTCCTGGGTGGGAGGCTGTAAGCGTGCAGTGGCACAGACTCCCAGCCCTGAACCAGTAACATCACTCCCCACAAGCCCTGGCTTCTCACTGGGGCCGAACACCAAGCCCAGGAGCCGAGGGAGGCTGAGGCACATCTGGTTGGGCATCTGGCACTGCAGCGTGGCGTGGGCCTCAGCAACGTGGCCCTAGGGGAGGTCACTGGATAACTCAGGGTGACTGCACCATGCGCTTGTGGGTGTCGAAGACGTAGCGCTTGAAAGACAGGCTGAGTGCCACGTGCTGTGTGGGCTCGGGCCGCTCGGCCGCCTCCTCCTGCGGGGCCGCCTCCCCACGGCCTGCCCGGCCCCGCTTCTTGACGGCAGCCATCAGGATCTTCTTGCTCTCGGGGCTGAGGCCACCTGCAAGGCACAGAGGACACTCCGTCACTCCACCACCCCAAGTGAGTGCCAAGAGGTCTGAGTCCAGCCCCCCCAACAACACCCCCACATCCCGCCAGCCTGAGCGGGGACCCCAGGGCCAGAGCACACTGGTGCGCCTTACGTCAGCCAGACGGCAGGGCAAGTCATCCTGGCCACCCTTCCTTTCACAGGGGAGAAGTCAAAGGCACAATAAGGGTGGGGGACAGTGTGAGGCCCCACAGCAAGTCAGGAAGAGCCAGGATTTGAACTCAGTCCTCACCCTATGGCAACTCTGGCTCCTGCCCTGCCCAACCTGCTGGGCCGGGGACTCTGATGACAGTGGCGCTGTGAGCCCTGGAGCTCTGGATGCTTGGGGAGGCTGGCTGCAGACCCCATTGCTCCAAGGGCCTAGTCTCTCCCCGCGGGTGGAAGTGAGCGGCGGCGGCCGTCTCAGAGCTTCGGTCCCCTGGAGGACGGGACCTGCTGCAGACACTGACAGAGCTCCAGGGGAGCAGGTGACATGGCGGGCCTGAGGGGCTGTAGGCAGGGGAAGGCGTCCTCCTGCGGGCAGTGCGCCCCTGTGGGGGCCCGGCAGCCTCGGGTCCACAGGCGTGCAGAGGGCCCTGGGCCAGTCCTCCTGAGCGGGTGCCAGGCCTGCAGGTATCTGAGTCCCTGAATCAGAGTCCCGGCCTTCCTTCTGCCAACAGAGAAGGTGGCTGGCACCAGACCCTGACAAATGGCCTGGGCGGCGTGTCTCCCTCTGGTGCCAGGAGGTCTGACGGCGCGTCTGGGAGACAGGCGTGGCCCAATCGGCGGTCCATCTCACCCGCGATGGCTCTCGTTACACACAATGCATACCTCGCGCTGCCCAGAGCAGGCAGAGCCGGAAAATCTATCTGGCACGGGTGACGATGTGGCCATTTAATTGCTCTTCTGGGATGGCAGGTTGTTTGCCTCTGCTCCATTCCGGGGTGGTCTGTAACCATGCCCAGAAAGCCTGGCTGACAGAGGGCCCGTGCACATGCTGCCTGGGCTACTGGGTGGGTGGCCAACGTCACCAGGAGCTGCTGCTCCCCCAGTGGCCTTTTTCAAAAAAAAGTGAATGGCAAACAGGGGGAGGTGAAGAGCGCACCATGGTGCCGGGAGCTGGGAGGTGGGAGCCGCTACCCACTCGACCAGACGCGGTAGCGCAGGGCCTTGGGGTCACACCAGGGAGCCCTGCAGGAAAGGGAGACATGCGGTGGGGAGCACACAAGCCAGGGCCTGGCTCCTGTGCAGTTTGCTGGTCTAAAAAGCAGCAGGCCTGGGCGCTTGGCAGCACAGTTGTGGCACTGCTTGGGACAACTACAACCCACATTGGAATGCCTGGGCTCAAGTTCTGACTCTGCTTCTGATTCCCACCTCCTGCTAATGCAGACCCTGGGAGGCAGGAGGTGATGGCTCAAGGACCTGGGTCCTTGCCACCTCTGTGGGAGACCCAGATGGGGTTTCAGGCTCCTGGCTTCAGCCTGGCCCAGACCAGGCTGTTGCGGGCATTTGAGGAATGAACCAGTTAATGGAAGGTCTCTCTCTCTCTCTGTGCATCTCTCTGCCTTTCAAATAAATTAAATCAAAATATAAATAAATAAAAAAATGTAAAATTACACAAAGGAAGAAGGGGCAGACAGTAACCAAGTCAACGAGAGAACTTGGACGGCAAAAGTGCAAGCAAGGAGAGGACATTGCTCTCGCCGGCAGCGAAGGCGCTGCTGTGAGCTGCCCCCGGGGCCCCACTGAGAACAAACACAGGGAGCAGCCACGGGGATGAGCCACAGGGTCTGAGCACGCCCTTGGGGGGCCCCACGCGCTGGCTTTGCGGGAGCTGGGCTCTAACGCGGGGTCCCAGTGAGAGAGGGAGGCAGCAGGTGAGCCAAGTGCAGCCTGCCCGGCACCCACGTCCTGGGCCTGCTCTGCTGCCCTCCATTCCCCTGGACCTTGTTCAGAAGCATCCCAGGGAGTCCCACAGAATGCCGCTGGGCCTCTCCCTCCACGCCGGCCCCTGCAATGGGGCCTTTGTGTTCCCAGTCCACCGCTTGGGAGTCACTGTCCGAACGTCACCTCTCAGTGAGGCCATCATGACCACCTGGTTTAAAACCACACCTGGCAGGTCCCCGGCCCCTCTCCCCACTCTATTTACCACCTGTAACATCTGCGACAATTTCCTGATTTCCATGCTTGCTGTGACCCTGGTCAAGTGACAAGTTCTCCCACGGCAGGGACTGCCATGGCCCTGCCACCGGCAGCAACTTCTGTGAGTGAGCGAGTGGCCGAGCGGCAAACCTCTCTGGCCTCCCAGGAACTCACAGCAGGTGTTTAATCCGGCTGGTAAGAGCCCGAGAGGGACAAGCTCCCCAGTGTGAGCCAAGAAATCTACCCCCAGGATGGGATCCAACAGCAGTCTGAGAGACGGCTACCAGTGCCCACAGCAGCCCGTGCAGCACGGGGGGCTAACCCCCCATCACAGTGCTGAGCATCTGAGGCCCGGAGAGGTGAGCGGCTTGGCCGCGGTCCCAGGGCTGCTCCGAGGCCGAGGTGCAATGACTGATGCCGAGTGTGTTCACGCGAGGGAGCCGCAGGGCTTGCCACACCCACCCAGTGTGCACACACACTCACGTGTACTCTTACACACACACCCAGCTATGCTAACACACACATCCAGGCATATGCTCACACACACACGGTGTGCATACATACTCAGCTGTGCACACACACAGATATACTCTTACACACCCAGCTAGGCTCACACACACATACAGGCGTATGCACACATACCCAGGTATGCATACACACACAGTGTGCACACACACTCAGGTGTACTCTCACACATCCAGGTATGCTCACAGTGTGCACACACACACTCAGGTATATTCATACCTACACACTCAGATGTGCTCTCTCACACACACATCCAGTGTGTACATTCTCACACTGAGTTGTACTCACATATATACACTCAGGTGTACTCACTCTCACACACACCCAGTGTCAGGTGTACTAACACATACACACTCAGGTCTGCTCTCTCACACACACATCCACTCAGGTGTGCTCTCACACACACCCAGGTGTAGTCACACACACACACACTCTCAGGTATGCTCACATACACACCCAGGTGTGCATGACGCCGAGGGAGGAAACAACCCAACAGAGCCCTTGCATCCAGGACAGGAAACCCCGTCTGTACGTGATGGCTCGGCTCAGACGCCAGGCCGCCCCTGCCCCACCCTCGTGTTCGTTATTCAATAGGCCCTTCTCTCCTCCCCAGCCCTGGGGTTCCTGGAACTGCTGTGCTCCACTTCGAGCCTGGACCCCAGGATGCAGTGGGGGAGGGCAGCCATGACCCAGGGGTGACGCTGCTACTTGTGGCTTCCCCTGCGGACACTCTCCCAGGGCCAGGCTGGCCCTTTCTCCCTGAGCGCCAGCTCCACACCAAGGCACGACCGGCTGAAGGCTGCTCCGGCCTTGGCTTGGCCAAGGGTAATCAGGGAAGAATGTGGGAGACTCAACTGCTCCCCAAGCCCTGGTGGCTACCGCTCCGACATAGCCATCAAAGGCTGGCCAATCACCTCCAACTGCAGGGGTGAGGCTAGAAGAGGGGCCTCCACACAGGTGGGTGGCTGGCACCCCCCAGTGGACACTGAGCCTTTGCAAGCAGTGTGGGGTCACTGTTCTCGGAGGCCCACCCAGTCCTTCCCTTGCTGAAAGCAGCTTTGGAGGGGCTGCGGGAGCTGGGCGGAGAGAGCTGGGGCAGGCAGCAGGAGGCTGCTTCCGGGCTCCGCGCCCCGCTGCCGACTGCCAGGCTGGGGCGCTGAGACAGGCCTGGCAGCTGCGCTGGGGCAGACACCGAGGTGGCCAGGCTGGATGAGGGGCTGCAGAGCAGGAGGGGCCGCCTGGAGGAGGTGACCTCCCTCAGTCAGGGGGCGGCACAGTTAGCTGGTGGGCTCTCGGACTGAACACTCCCCTCCCCCAGGGCGAGGAGCTGCCCTGCACAGCCCACGGGTCCCAAGGTGTGCAGGCAGCACAGCATCCCTCTGAGGTCGCCACGGTGGGTCTGGGGGCCTGCGGCAGCTGGGAGGAGCTGGGCCTGAGACCAGGGCCAGGCCGATGGGAAAGGGGGAGAGCTGACAAGGTGGGATGGGCCCACCTCACGGGCGACCAGAGGGGCACAGCTGGGCACAGAGGCCCAGCAAGACGACCAAAGGCTGACCTTAGCATCTTGGGTGGGCCCCTCGTCCAGGGGCAGGAGAGACAGCTCCCTTCCCGCCGGGCCTCCGAGAGCCTCTGTGAGCAGCGACAGTGCCTTCAGAATCTGCCCAGCCTTTGTCAGGCAGCGCGTCGGTGCTCATCCTGGGGAGCCGAAGCTTCTCCTGGGGCCCCTGTTAGCTGGGGCGGCTGCCTCCCGGCTCCTCCTCCTTCCTTCCCTGCTATGGATCCCATATGTAAACAAAGATGCAATTTGCTTGAAAAAGATAAGGTGATTAAGTTTTTATCAGACCTGGACTCCGCTGTCCCCGCAACAAAAGGAATTAGGGGAAGGCGGCGGCGGCATGGGCCCTGCCCGGCACCGCGGCTTTCCGAGGCTCTCCAGCGCACACTCGACGGGCGCACGCGGCCCCTTTGATTGGACGGAAGCGCAGGCAGCGGGCGCCCGGCACCCCCATTTTGATGTCTTAATGTTGCCTAATTCCTCCTTTAATTTGTATTAAGCTTCTTAGCAGCGATGATGAATTCTTCAAAAACAAAAAAGGGCCCTTTGCACAATCTCTCCCACCCCACGTAAATTGAAATTACCATGCAGCCAGAGCTGTGCAGACGGGGCTGTGCGGGGAGGGAGGGCCAGCGCACGCTGCCGAAGGAAGGATCCTTTTTTAAGGCAAAAAACAAAACCGCTCTGAAACAGGCAGGAAATGCCTTGGTCTTGACAATCGCAGCGGGCTGCACTGTTGGAGAGAGGGGTG